CCAGGACCCGGGTATATCCTCAGACGCTCCCCCGGATTCTCCTACCCCAGCCCCCCTCGATCCCCCTGCCCCTCACACGGGGGATCCTCCCCACCGGGCATCGACCCCCCCCCCAGACTCTCCCACAATTGGGGCATCCCAGGGATCTCCCGGTACCCTGCTGCCCCCAGACCCAGGCCAGGGGGACCCTCGCACACACAGCTGCCCCCTCCTCCTGCCCTTGTCCCTCCAGGCACCCAGATCCCCTCTCCCACCTCGTCCCTCTGGCACGACCAGGCCTGGAAGGATGGAGCTCTGTGTTTCACACCGTGAACCCTCCGAGGTGGCCCGAGGGACCTGCAAGCCCTTCTCCACCCACCTCTGGGGATTGCAGAGCTGCACTGTGTGCTTCTCCACCTCAGCTGCTCCTTAGAAGCAGTTGGGAGCTTTCTCCCCACCACCCTTCAAAGCCGGGAGTTCAGTGCTCTCCTCCCTTCCCATGGGTGTTCAACAGCCTCTCTGGGAGAGACCCGTTCTGATGCACAACCCCAGGTCTTGACCCTGTGTCCAGACCCAGCCAGAGCTCTGGTGTAATCTGAAACTCCCACGTTTTCCCAAATTACATTGTTTCTCTAATGCTGTCACCATGTTTTTCTTTTAGGAATAAAATCCAAGAAAGAAGAACATGTGACAGCAGCAGCAGAGGGTCCTTGATGTTCTTTGACCCAGTCTCACCTTGCGTAAGAGATGTTGTGTCCTTTCTAGACCACTCCACTCACAAGTGTTTAACTGAAGCCATGGCAACAGGGGATCCAGCTGTATTCCAAGTATCATCTCAGGATGCAAAGCAAAGAAACGAGCCCTTGGTGAAGGGCATGGCAGCTCCAGAGAAGGCAGTGATCACATTAGATGCCATGAAGATGTTAGATCCATGTCAGTTAAAACCTGATAGCATGGAGATGGAAAGAATCATAACTGTCTTGGATGAGACGATTGCTAAGCTGGAGATGAGCAGTTTGATCCCACGTATTACTGACTCTCTGGATAGGTTTGCTGATATGCTAGGACCTGAGATCACAAACAACCTGACTGAGCACCAAAAGCTTTCAAATGAAATGGAGCACCTGCTTGCCAGCTCTGAAGAAGAGGACAGCATGAGAGCTGAGGAGCAACAGGGCTGTCTCTGCTTGCTAGAGCAACATCTGAAATGTTCTGTTAGAAATGTCCTGAGACTCTTACTGGCCAACCCTTCGCTTTGCCAGGCTCTGAGGTATGAAGCTTGGGCGAGAGAGTCACCAGCTGAAGCGTTTATCAAAGCCTTTGGGGAGTTCAGGAATTTCATGCTTGAGAGACTCCTGACTAGTCCTGTGGAAGAGGAAGAAAAGATCCAGTTCATGGAAGCCATCTCCCTCCAGATTAAGAAAAACACAGAAGCAATCACAGCTTTACAGGCAGAACTGGCAGCAGCAATCCAGACTCAAGAGGAGGAGGTATGATATTGTGTGAATGTATTTTCCAACAAAGCATAACTGAAGCAAAACTTTGGTAAGCTAAAAAATGATCAATTTTTTACAGTTCCTAAAGAGGAAGTTCCAGAACTTTTTTCTAAACCAGATCCTAAATTTAAAGATACTATTTTAATTATAAAATATAATGAAAAATGTTTATTGCATGCTTGATTTTTTTTTAAACTTGAATTTGGTATGTTTTGAACCTGTTCTCGCCGGCCAACTCGAATGACACAAGTCACTGAGTTTAAAAAGGAACTGCAGGACAGGCACAAATTGCTGTGGTAATGTTTTGGCAGGGCTACAATGCCAGCTGCCAGCGCAAGACTTGGTTCACTGCTGATGAAATGATGAAAAGTCATTCCAGGGAGAGATTGCTGTGATCAAAATCCATTTTTAATATCTGCTCTCCCTTCACTCTTGCTTAAAGCAAATATTTCTGTGACTTCCAACTCTTTAATACTAGCTGCCTTAGAGCATTTGTGATTAATATGTGATTATACGAATTCTTCATTTTTCCAGTGAAGGCAACTGAGGTACAGATAAACAATGGGCATTTCCCAGGCTCTTTCTTGTGAGTCCGTGGGCTGTGCCAGCATCCAAGCCTCTGAGCCCCTCACAAGCAATCCTTTGTTTTATACGTATGCTTTTCTTTCTCCTTCCTGCAAGAGTGGTTGGAGGGGAAGGTTTTGTCATGTGCTCGCTACACTGAATGGTGCTGACGGAGACAAGGGCCTGCTTGCCCCATTCCCTCTGCTCCTTGGAGATCTGTGAATCGAGACACTTGAGATTTTTATGTGCAATTTGGCAGCTTGTCCAGGGTGTCATGAATAAATCTGTTTCACTGGTCCCAGCCGAGGATTTCTCTTGCAGGCAGCACACTAAGCTCTGTCCCCCAGACAGTCACTCTGAGCCTAATCTAAAGCTCGAGGGAGCCACAGGCCTCGCTCCAGTGATTCTGATTTTGGCTCTTCCTCAGATGGCAGTGCCAGTGGGTCTCAGTATAGTTTGTTCATTCTCTACCTTTATTAACAGGTTCCCAGAGGAGCAGTGGGGGAAGGTTTCCAAGGCACCTCATGTAAATCTGTTTCCTCAGCCAGCAGTGGCAGGTTCCTGTTGCTACCAGATCAGCAGTGTGTCTTCTTAGATCTCTTCCACCTTTGCAAGGCTGCCTTACTTCTCCTGCCCACCTTATGCCTCACCGGCATTTCTCGATGGTATTTCTTTCTCTTGTTTTCTGGGTCTAGATTCAGAAGAAGGACGATGTAATCAAAGACCTCAAAACCAGCCTGCAAGATCTGGCCAAAGACTGCAAGGCCAGCATCCAGCAGATCAAGCAGGAAGGGGAAAAACAGCAAAAAGAGGAGCTGCAGGCCTCCCAGGCCAAGTGTGCCAGGCTACAGCAGGACATTCAGCAGTTAGGAGCACAACTTAATGCACTTGTACTGGAGCATCGAGCATCAGAGCTGGCTCTCAGAAAGGTAAATGGGAGGAGAGCTCTAGAACAGGAGATTTAAAACCTTTTGTACTGCTGTCAGGGCTGGCTTCTGGCTGCTGCAAGTAATTACTTGGTTCACGCTAGTTCCTGGCAGGACGCACATGCTGTTTGTTAGAGTATACCTGCTCTGTCCTCATGCTCTGCTGATTCCAGTGGAAAGCAAACCCTGCAGTGGCAGCAGGGAAGTAGCCTGCTCACAGGTCCTCTTCCTGCCTGCTGACTTAGCTCTGAAAACGCCTTTATACAGTGCTGTGACACTCATCAGAGCACAGAGCAGCAAGGCTGCAGTAAAATAGGCAAGGCATATGCTAAGAAACAAGGGATTTAGTGTAGAGTAAGCAGAGCAAACATAAAACTGGCTTTATATAAAGCCATCTTTTAGGGTTGATTGTAGTATTCAAGGTTGAGAGCAGCTGATCTTGGGAGCTAAGCAATTCCTGCTTTGTCTACCACTTTGCTGAAGACACAAGCCAAAGAGTTGTGCTGAGTTGAATGAGGGGGAAATGTGATTTATCGCAGTGCTGAGCAGATACAGAAGGAGGAAACAGGAGCAGCAGGCAGTCTCAGGCCTCTGTATCAACAGCTCTGCCCTAAGCAGAACATGCTGGTGACACAGGGCACAGAGAATCTAGAATTAGAGCATTTTCCCCCTGAATTTGCTCCTTCTGGGTTTACTCCAAACAAGCACTGGCCTCCCACAGGCAGGACGGCACACACTGGTAACGGGGCACCTTTCACTCTTGAGTTGGACGATGTAGATCGAAGTGGCTGTGGGGCTGAGCATCAACAAAGCCAAGTTAGAGCTGCAGTACACAAACCAAAATCTACCCACTTACACCTTTAACAGAGTGGCTTTATCAGGCAATTTCTTTTGAGGTTGCAGGCCCCTGCAGTATTTGTTGATGAGTTGCTCAGCTCATTCTCATGCGCAGGGAGAAAGATTTACTGAGCGCTGAGGTCTCCTTTTCCCCTCCTTAGCATGTCCTCTAGCCCTACACAGCCCAAGATTGTACTTGTGGTCTAAATAGCTGAGGTCTGACCTCATGATGGCCTGGGAGCCCTTGGGACATCCTGGGTCAGTGTCATACAGGAAATGGTGTGGCACTTGTGATGGGCTCTGGCTGGTCTTTCTCTTGATGATTGCACAGAGCACAGATGCAGCAGCTTGGGGTAAGCTGCCTGTACCTGGTTATACTGCAATATAGCCACTGTTAAACTGCTTTACAGCTAGCAATATCTCTTTACTTTAAAAGGTACCATTTTTTGAGTACTCTGTGTTCCACTTTCATGTTTAGCAGTTCTCTGTTTCTTCAGTTTCAGGGTGGTTGTCCCAGTTTGTCAATGACTTGTCCGGTTTCCCCAGTTTGTCACTGACTTGCCCCATTCCATCAGACATGTTCATTTCCTACTGCAGAATGCACCTTTCAGATGCATTTTGTTCCCCCAGCTCCAGGCTATAAACCAAATAAGGCCGTTTTGGCCTCAGAGAATGTCCCATGAGAATCCCCAAACCAGGGTAAACAAAATATGTGTCTGCTGAAGGAAGCTTGCCACAAGGAGGAGGTGTTATACTCAAAGATAATGACACTGTTTTCTAATTCAGGCTACTTTCTACCAGGTTTCGGGTGCCTGCAAGGAACCTGTCTTATTTTGTGTTTCAGAGGAAGTGCAGGCTGGAGATGGAAATTGTGAACTGGATCCAGAAATATGACACAGACATGGGAGAAAAACAGGTAACCACTTTAAAGTGCTTTGCTCTCCCGTGAGGTGATATGTGCAGGTAGATTCCTGTCCAGATGGACCTGTGGCTCTAACACAGGAGGCCGTGGAAGTGAGGGGCAGTTCTCCATCCAGAAGAAGTACAGGAGTCATGGTTTGAGCCCAGAGGGCAACTGAGCATAACAAAGCTGCTCACTTACTCCTTCCCTCTCAGGAATGGGAAGGAGTAAAACAAAACAAAAGACCCGGGAATTGAGACAAGGACAGGGAGGGATGATTAACCCATTGTGGTCATGGGCAAAAGACAGACTTGTTAGGGGAAGAAAAAGAACATCAGTTTAAATTAAACACCACCACCACTTAATTTAACAAAGAGTAGGGCGTTGAGAAGTATAACTGCATCTTAAAAACACCTTCCCCCCACTCCCTTTTTCCTGGGCTCAGCTTTGTTCCTTAGTTCTCTCCCTCCTCCCCTGCAGTGATGCAGGGGGGCAGGGATGGGGATTGTGGTCAGTTCATCACCCATTTTCTCTGCCACTCCTTCCTCCTCAGGGGAGGATTCCTCACACCCTTCCCCTGCCCCAGCGTGGGGTCCCTCTCATCAATCCTTCATGAACTACTCCCATGTGAGTCCTTCCCAGAGGCTTCTGCTCTTCACAAACAGCGTGGGTCCCTCTAGGCATTGCAGCCCTCCCAGCGACAGATCATCCCAGCAGACTGGGCTGCCCTCCCAGTCCCATCCTTCTCCAGGCACAGCCCTCTGCTCTGGCATGGGGTCCTCCACGGGCTACAGGGGGGCATCTGCTCCCCTGGTGACCTCCATGGGCGCAGGGCACAGCCTGCCCTCTCCCCATGGGCTGAGGGGGGGGTCTCTTCTCTGGTGCACCTCCTCCCCTTTTGCTGTTAACCTGGTGTTTGCAGAGGTATTTCCCTCACAACTCCTCTCCAGATTCCCCTTCTTAAATACATTATCACAGAGGCACAGCCACCTTTGCTAATTGGCTTGGCCTTGGCCAGAGGTGGGTCCATCTTGGACCAGGGATGCTTCCAGAAGCTTCTCAAAGGGGCCACTGCTGTAGACCCTCCCCTGCTACCAACACCACCACCCAACCCCCACCCCCACCTGACAGGCTTCAGAAGGCAAGGTCTCTGTCCTGCCTATGTGTTCAGGGGTTCTCTGCTGCTTTGACTTTAGAAAAAGATACATCCACTGCTAAATCCCACAGTATTTGGGGGCAAACAGGTTGCCATGGTCTGTCGGACACACCGACCTGACACTAGGGAACAGGTTGTTGAGTTTTGCTTCAATCCTGCATCCTGTGGGCCCTACCTGGTACCCAAATCATGCTCCTGTTTCTGCTGGCCCCCTTGAGAGATGTGCTGAGAAACCCACCAGCCTGCTTACCGCTGCCTTGGAATCCAGCTTCACCACCACAGGCTGAGAATCACACTGGTGCCCTCAGCCTCTCCTCTGAGAAGGCCCTAGTTTCCTGTTCTTGCTCGATTTATGGAGATGGATAAAAGCTGATGGATTACTAACAAAGCAAAATGTATGAAGGGGCCTAGAAGCTGGCTACTAATTGTAAGAAATTATTCCCCCTTGTCAGGTGTTTAACAATGGGATTATTTTGGTTTCCTGTCTGCTGGGTTGCCGAAGCACCAGGTCATGGCAAGTTTGGGGCTGAGCTGCTAAGGCAGACACACATCCACACTGCTGGCTCCCCTAATTTTCCACCTTCACGTGGCTCCCTCAAGGGCATAAACTGCTGAGCTTGGAAGTGCAGTAACACCAATGAAACTACTTGTCCTTCTCATGCTTTCCACAGTGTACAGCTTATTAGCTGGGCTTCAGTGCTACTCATCTAAAATGGCTTCTTAGCAAAGCCGTTAGCTGAGGTGAGCTCAGCCTTACCCAAACTGCTGTGATAGGTCTTTTTTGCAGAAAGCATCTGCAGGAGGGGCTTTGACCTGGTCAGAGTTCCCAGCTGAGGGTGGATGCTGTCTGCAACACACAGAGAATTGTGAGTATTTTTCAGAGGAGCATGAAGATACTAGGACCCAGCATCTCATTAAATTCCCTGGGTACTGGGCACACCTCCTTTCTGAGTCCCTTTGGAAAGGCTCACCTCAGCTTCCAGTTGTTGTTCTGCTTGGATTTGGGATGGATTTAAGAACCCTTGCCTAGTGTTATACTCAGAAGCTGCTGAATGCCCTAAAAATTTTTGTACCCGCTATCTGCTGTCTTGCTAGGCTGAGTATGAAGAGGTTCATGCTGCCTATGCTGAGGAGAAGGCCCAGCTGTCCCTGCTGACAGAGAAACGTGCTATGCTTCTCCAGGAGTATTCCCAAATTGAGGAGGAGCGGAGGATACGTCAGGAGAAGGAGGAGCAGGCTTTGAAGGAGTTGAACACCATGACGCTTGCTGCCACCCGCATCCAGGCCTTCTGGAGAGGCTACGTGGTCCGGTCCCTCTTCAAGTCAAAAAAGAAGAGCAAGGGCAAGGGCAAGAAGGCCAAGAAATAAAGCACAAAATGCATTCTCTTTCCTCCTGGCAAAGCTGCTGACTCTGCTGGGACTGAGCTCTTCCAGATAAAAGCATTAGATTTCAGACAGCACTTGCATTAAGGCCTCCAGGGCTGGGGCTGCCTCTCATAGTTGGAGAATACTGAAGCAGTGGCATGAAGACATGTATTACCGTTTTAGGTTTGGCTTTGCCACCTCTGCAAGGAGTAGAATGTCTCCTGATTAAGGGACTGGGCAAGGACTGCAGGTTCCTGGCTTGTCTTCTTGGCTTTAGTCTCCTTGCTTCTGCCTTCCTTGTTGGGGCCCCATTCTGTTCTTACTGAAGGTGGCAATAAAATAATTCCTGGGGGTGGGATGAGGCCCTTCATCTGACAGGATTTCTCCTAGTGTGGATTTGAGAGACCATGTCCCTTTCTACAGGAGGAAGCTGCAGGGCCGTTGCTTATCGGTGAGAGGGGGGGCACAAGTCCTGGCTGGGCATCACCCCTGGCAGTTTCCATTTTTCGTCAGGGGCCTTTTGATGGGTGGGATGTGGCACAGCACAGCTTGTGCCCTGCTCCCAATCCTACCAGTCTCTCCCTAAACTAAGCAGCAAACTGCACCCTGTTTAATGCAGACCCCTGTTCTGACAGCATGCTCTCCTTGGATTCTCCAGGGTCTAATGCCCCAAGAGCACACTGCAGCCTTTGCCTTTCACAGGGGCATGAGTCAAATGTTTTTACTTCCTTGGTCTCCCATTTTCAGTAGCTATATTGCAACTTCATACCACAGAGCTCTTTACTCTTCTGCTCACTAGCCCCTTACTACAACAAGTCCACTGAGTGACTCGAGCATGTCCAGAGAAGGGCAACGGGGCTGGGGCAGGGTCTGGAGCACAGGTCTGCTGGGGAGCGGCTGAGGGAACTGGGGGTGTTTAGTCTGGAGGAGGTTGAAGGGAGACCTGACAGGAGGGTGCAGAGAGCGGGGATGAGTCTCTTGAGCCAAGGAACCAGCACCAGGCCAAGAGTGAATGGCCTCAAGCTGTGCCAGGGCAGGGTCAGGCTGGCTCTGAGGAAGGATTTCTGTGCAGAAGGGGCTGTTGGGCATTGGAATGGGCTGCCCAGGGCAGGGGGGGGAGTCCCCAGGATCCCTGGAGGGGTTGAAGAGTTGGGCTGAGCCAGCGCTGAGGGATCTGGTGGAGTTGGGAATGGTCAGGGTGAGGTTCATGGTTGGACTGGAGGAGCTTCTGTGAAATTGGGCATGGATACAAGCATGCACAGAGTGCAATGTCTTATTTGTTTCATTGTCTTGGGAAACTAGGCAAACTACGTGTTACCATAAAGTCCCGGGCATCTTCTCTCACCTATTATTTGCATTTAACAAGGCTGGGAGCAAACAGCATTTTGGATCCAGACTCCAGTGACATTTCCTTCCTCCTGACTTCAGCGGCCTGCCCTTGCAGCCCCTCTTCCCAGAAGAGGGCAGAGATGCTGGCTGCAAAGCCCTAATAGCCTCCAGACTCCAGACCTCGTCTGCCCTTCTACCTCTGCTCATAAATGGGTACCTATAGCAAAAGGGCTGAGATGTTTTTTACTACCTAATGCAAACAAAAGTGGAGAGGGGGCCATTTTGCTAAGGATAAAGTGACTGGTGACGTTCAAGGGCTGAGCTCGCCATGAGGGGGAGATCCTACAGCAGTGCCCCAAGTACTGAACGCAAGGACCTCACAGATTTGTCCTTGACTGTTTATTTGATTAAAAGTCACAGGGTCACTATGGTGTGTCTGTAGCACCAGCAAATCGCAGGATTTTTGCCATCCTGTGTCCAAACCAGCACAGGACCCGATTCCAAGCGCATGCTAGAATCACTGAGAAATCACAAGGATGTGAGTCATGGGATCAGGTGAGGCCCCTCTCTCCTCCAACATGGCCAGGAGAGGTGTCTTCCCTTGTTTGCAGCCACAAGAAATGCCAGGATATGTGGAGACTTTCAGATGTTGGTACCCATGTGGGTAATTTGGGGTGTATTTACATTAAGAGGGATGTTTCATCTCTAGGGAGGTTTCAGTTCACAAATACTAACAGCCCTAGAGTTGCTGGCAAAAGAAGGTCTGGACATGCTTTTAGAGGATGTTGCGAGTGTTGCAAGGGCTGTTGGACACTGATTTTGATGCCTTCCTGTCTCAGAGTTTGTCTAAGACCTCCAAATGTTGCCTCCAGATGTCAAAGCCTATCTGCAGAGGCATTCAGCTGGGTGACAGACTGAGAACACCTTCTGATGGGAGAACACCAGCCTATGGAGTCCAAAGTACTCTCAGACTATTTCCAGGCATAGGACTTGCCCTGCTGAGCTGCCTCAGTGCCTGATAGTGCCAGAGGTGCTGGTGTTTGCTGGTGCTCATGGCTGCAGGACTCACAGGGGCGTCTCTTTAGAATGGGAGGAAACACTCAAGTAGCTTCAGGGGGGCAGAAGCAGCTCTGTCCAGAGCAGTGGATGGAGTTTGCCTACTTCTATCTTTCTTCACCTGAGGAGCTGTGTAGCCCAGATCCTCAGGCTTAGAGTCAAGTGTGCCTATTGGAGATGTTTCCAGGGCTAGCGTCCAGCCCCTTCACCCACACCTCAGCCAGATCTAGCCCCACAACTCCCTGCTCAGCTTCAAACCGGCCACTCAGTGCTGATAGCCCTTGTTCACGGGACCTTTATTCACTGCTTGGCATCAGCCTGCTGGAACCCCTTAACTGCCGTGGGGTTCCCCATGGCTCTTGTGCCACCCCACCTGCTCCTCCTTCCAGTGCAGCTGCACAGCCTCTCTGCTCTGTGGTGCATCCATGGCCCAGCTGTCACACAAAACAGAGATGGCTTGTCCCAGGATCATATTCATGGTCTGTGCCACAGCCCACGAGGCCCCTGTGAGATCCTGGCAAGGGTGGCAGGAGCTCCGGATTTGGGCTGCCTGGGCTGGCAGGGCTGCCATGAGCGAGCGGGCAGACCTGCACGTGCAGGTGATGGGCGAGCAGTAATGCGATCAGGGGGGATCAGAGCAGATTAGGGAGATCAGAGAAAGGCGATCCCCTGGGGCTGGGAGTGGGAAGGGGCCTTGGTGGGGCAGCATCTGCCGCAGGTCCCCAAGGAGCTTTGCTGGGCTCACTGGGGAGAGGGATCCCCCTCAGATGTGACCCAGCTCATAAAAACTAGGACTGTGGGCTGGTGGTGGGGAGCAGGTGAGGGGCACAGGGCTGTTCCTCCTGGCTGGGCATGCAGCACCAAGACGGATTTTTATGCCAGCTGTGACAGCACCTTCCCCCTGGCCCAGCTCGGCCACCCCTCGTGCTGGCCCCTCTGCCCCACATGTGCTCACCTAGCGATCTCATGGGTTTTTCATGTTTGCTTGATGGTTTGCTTCTTCCCCAGGTCATCCTGTTCCTAAAGACAGCTTTAAGAGTGGCATTTTTCTGTGTTTTTAGAGAAGGGCGTTGAAGCAATGGCACCCCTGGGGTGGACTGTGGGTCTCCTAAGGCCGCAAGCTCCAGGGTCCCACCTGTGGGTGGGCCGCATAAAATGCCCCACACCCTCCGGAGCGTTCTCTGACGCTCCCCAAGGCACTGACCGCTCTCTCGCCCCGGCTGGAAAGGGGGCGTCAGCGAAGGACGCAGCGAGGTCACGACACCCCCCAGTGTCGGCGGGGCCGCGAAATGGCGGCGGGGGTCAAAATGGCGGGGGAGGGGGGATGCTGAAGGG